TATAATGAGATTTTTCATGAGATTTGTTTGTGATCATGTTTTTAGTTTATAAATATCACAGAGTTCTTTATATGATATATGTTTAATAAATTTTTATTAAAGACTAAAGATATAAAATTTATATACATCGATACAAAACTGTTAAGATTTAATCAATAGATCTTGATTTGCTTGCTCTTTTACATTAAGTTTATATTTAAAAAGTAAAATGCTATCTCTCTCTTCTCTCTCTCTCTCTCTCTCTCTCTCTTTCTCTTTGATTATATATTTATCAAAAACATCAGGACACTACTGCATCTCTTGATACATACACACATACACGCATCATGACTTTCTATAAAAACAGAGAAAGAGATAGTGCCATACAAAAAATGCAGCGCTCTCTTCCAAAGCAATATTATTTATGCTCACATAATATTTTTTTTTTATTAGATTCGTTGCCAGTTGCCACAGAACAGTGCGTACGTGCATTGCAGTCCACTGTAGTTGAAACATGTCTGCCTTTTGCATATGCTGCGCTGTGATGCATTTAGAATACTTTTTTCATTCCGCAGAATGCGCTTTCTTAACGCGATGGCCTCGTGACAACGTAGCCTTACCAAAAAAAAAAGGAGAAAAACGAGAACGTTTCTCATTTAGCGAAAAGGTCGTTGAAAAACAAAATATTATGCACTATTTGCAATTGAATAATGTAAATATTCAGGCAGTCTATCAAATATTAAGCACTGCGACGAAATTAAAAGTGAAATGTAGAAATATACTTCATGCCCAATTTTTTCCAAAGTTTGTGATAAAGTTAAAGAAGTTTTTATGCACATTTGGATAAATTAGCTGTTTACAATTTCAAAATCAAATTAGATATGCTAAACATAGTTATACATTACATTTGTTACACATTTATATCAAAAATAATAATGGAATCGAACATAATAAATAGTAAGAACGTATGAAGAGCATTAAAATACATTACTATTTTTTTGAATTGATAATAATATATAGATAGTTATGTGTTTATATATATATGTATAATCACTGTGTCATTTTGCTAATTTTATATCTGCACACTTTATTATATTTATTTAAAATAATAAATCAATATTTATATATAAATAAAAGTGTGGACGGGTAAAGGGCTTCGCCTCTTTTCCTTCATCCCGAACATAACTTACTCAAACCTAACTTTAATTTAAAATCAGAACTAAAAGTATGGATTAGATAAGAATTTTTTCGAAGTAAGGGTGTAGGCGGAGAGGCTCCGCCTATTTATTTTAGTAAAACAGTAAAATACATATGTCTGGAACTTTTCGCGCAAAACAAAGTTTGAAATAAATAAATTTGATTTAATTGCATATTTTTAAATCTCTGAGTAAATACTTAATGATGAGTAGCATACTGATTAATGATAATAAAAACCTTTTAGAATTTACCAAAAATCATAATTTTAGAAATATATGTCAAAGTTAAGGTCATTGAAAATAAATTCCTTTTTCTAAAAATTTTATTTTTACAATATTTCAAAGTCTCATATCTCAGAAATCAAGAGAGCGCGTACACCACATAATTCAAAGCGTGTATTACTGAGAATTGCACTTTTTATAATGGTATGTCAAAAAAAGTGACTTGTGAGCTATGAGTTAATGTCAACATTTACCATTTTGTAAAATGTTTAAAAATAGCTAATTAATTATAATAAGAAAAATCTTAAATTTTTTTTTGTTTTAGGAGTTAGGACAATTGATTCATTTATAATATTGTACATGTATGTATATGCAATTCTTGATAAAAACAAGATATATATATATAAATTGTTATTAAAGATTTAAATAAGTCTTTTTATAAAAACAACTGATTTACACTTTTCATAATTTTATCATCCATAAACGGATGTCATAAAAAATATATAAATGACAGTATCGCGAGCATAGTCATGTTATTAATGATAAAAACGGGCATTATTATTGCATCCATATGCTTTATATAATTATGAGATTAAAATCAATGAAAGAATTGCACAGTAATTACTCAGTGATGACAAAACTTTAATCTGATTGTAGTAATATGCCTTTTTTCAGCATGAGACCTCCTTGATCGCTAAGTAAAGAGTCATAAAAAAGGATTAAATAAGAATAATTATAGCTGACTTTGTGTAAAAAATGATTGAGTATTAAGATTAATAACGAGTAAAATTAGTGAAGTTTGCGTATACTCTGTTTAAATGTATGCTCATGTAAATGGCACAAAAATATATGAAGCTAAACAAACATTGTTATATCTACATGATTCGATTTATGATTATCACACATATACACCACACACATTAAGAATTCAAATAGAAAAATATTATATTTTATTTTTAACAAATAATAAACACATAGATATAAAAATACTACGATAAATACTGTACAAGCATTACTATGAAAAAAAAACAACGATATTATTTGAAATTTACAATTCGTTAAAAATGAACCATGTTTACTGGCAACAAAATATTATGTAACTGTACAATGGTTTCATTGTAAATACGAAAAATAAACATATTATAATTATAGAAGTTATAATTGGATGCAAGTTTAAAAATGTAGAATATTGCAATAATAAATACAACGTATTAATGAAAAATCACAGATTATACGCATAAGAAAAATCAAATTTTACTTAAATAATAATGTGTAATTTCTCTCTCTCTCTCTCTCTCTCTCTTTTTCTTTCTTTCTCTCTTACACATACATGCATCTATGTTTTTCTATTCTTTCTTGCTTTCATACACAAATTTTATCTCTAATATAGAGATAGAGAAGCAACAAGATTCTATAAATAAAATAAAAGATAATATGGTAATTTTCATGAACTTTATCCACATGATAAAGAAATTGTGTTGTTTTATGTTATTACGTATTTACTCTTACATATTATCTTTCTCTCTTTCGATATATCCCTTTTAATCATGTAATGCAAGTAGATGCCCCTCTTATTCAAAGACTCTATGAAAAAGCCGCCAGCGACTATTGTTGCATTTGCTATTTGGATGAGATATATTAACAAACCATTTGATGTTATTCCATTATTTACAAACACAACATAAAATTTCTGTTTTTTAGTATCTTTAGGAAAATTTCGCATATTTAAAATGTACAAATCTACAAAAAGGATTGGAAGACATATTGCACATCTATGCATAGGATCGTATCACATAACAATGCTGAGTATGTAAATCGCACGCAATTGTCTGCTGAATATAAGTAGAATTCTCAACGCTAAGGCTGGCCAAGGACAGACCTCGTGGAATTCGAAAGATCAATGATAAGTCGGTCTCGTGCCTTGCCGTTCTATTCGTAATGAGAATTTCTCGCATTTTCGAGAGCAATGTGTATCGCGTTCTTGCAGCTGCGTAAATCATCAAATGTGTCATGAAATTAATAAATTGGATAATTGTCGTCTCGTCAGAATGTTACAGAAATTAGAAACGTTCACGTCTATCGGCGATAATTCCTCGAATACATTTTTAATAAAACCCAGATGTAAACTTTAATAAATTGCGTGCTTAAACTGTTTAAAAGTTGAAGTAGAGAAGAGAAAAAGAGAGAATTGTGTTCGTGTAGATACTGTTCATGTGGTTTAAAATATGTATATTAAAATATATAAAAAGCAAAGATATATTATAAATTAAATTAATTCAGCTTGTATGCTGTATTCGTATACTTAATTCTTGAAAATAAGACAGTGAAAAATATCAAGTGTACATATAGTACACATAAATATAAGAAATAGGCCAATGACTTGTGTATATATATAGTATATATATACTTTGCTCTGCCTAACTTATATATTTTATCCAATTAGATATGGCTGCCCTTTCATCACTTTTAGTACCGCTATTAGCGGTCTAGTATAATATATAGAAGACTTTATATAACGATATTAATTTAGTTTCCGTAATGATATCGGTAATTTTTAAAAATGTACAATTTCTTAGATTCTTATATTGAAATATATTCGAATATATTTCAAAATAGAAGTGTTTAATACTAAGCAGTTTTAAGACTGTTAAGTAAAAGATTGGAAGAATACATATCATCTGTGTACACAATACTATCAATATTATCTGCTGATAAATTTTATCGCTTTTTCTCTCATTTATTTTTTAAGCAAGTGTCTATTTACAAACAAGCAGGCTTCTCAATTTGTCAGCATACAGAGGGACACGCAGATCTCCTAAAACTTAATACGCGATTCGCATCGCGTATGCCAAAAGCTTCCAACAAAACGTGAATAGCACACATAAGTCATCCAACAATATAAATACCACATCGTTTTAGTCTGAAATATTTTTATCCGCTAGTTCTTCAAAGAGTTCGTTGTTTGAACAGAAAAACGCCACATTGATTTATAATGCAATTTCGTTAACATGCCCAGCAAAACGCCACCATATATAAAAAAATATCTTTGTAGAGTTTTTTGTTCTTTATCCGTAGTATATTATTGAATATATTAACATTTTCCAAAAGTTGGATTTTAATAAGATAACTTTAATTTTATTCAATAACATTTCTCAATCTTCCTTTTCTTGACACAAATTGAACTTACATTATGTAACTATATAATTCAAAAAATATTTTATTATTTAATATATTTAATAATATTAATTTTTTTTTAGATGTGTTTATGGATAGAAGAATTATAAGTATTTATACTGAGAAAATAATAATAAATAAATTTGCATCGATAATATGTTAAATATGTTAAAATTTTTCTATCTAAATAAACAATAATTTTAAACATATATCTCATCTTAATTTAAAAAGATACATTTTTTTTTTCTAAATTGTCTATACTATTTTTTAATGTATATTTTAAAAAGATAATACAAGAGAGAGAGAGAGAGAGAGAGACTTTTTTATGAGAGATTATCAAAAATGTGAATATAATATAGGATGATAAATAGCCTAAGTTGACCATTTTAAATTACTTGTAAACTATTGAATAAAAAAATCCTCTAAATAAAAGTCGTGCACTCTTAAAAGTGGCATGTTAAACTATATTGTTGTCTCTTTTCTGCGATGTTGATTGGTCATCTTGATGCATCTTGTGCGTGCTCGTACGTCACTTTGTACCGTGAAATATTGTCATCGCGATATGACCGTTACAGTTTTGACAGTTCGTAGAGAGGAAGTTATTAATATGTCAACGCGAATTATTGTATGATAAAAATAAAGAGAAGAGTAAATATTTAAAGATAAGAATAAAATTATTGTGTGATAAGAGTCAAGGTTGTTCAATAAACATTGTGTATATTACAATCCGAGATTAAATAAGTATTTCATTGATATTAAAAATTGCATAATATTTCTTAATAACAAATGTGTTATTTTCACAATAATTTATCTCGTTAATCTGTGCATAAAATTATTACAAGATACTTCATATTATGGAATATTTCATAAAATTCTAATAAAAAACTGTTATATATTAATTATCGTTTTTCTGAAATTTCTATTACATGGTGAACATTTATTGCGTAACATCGTACTTAAAATAATGTTGAATAAAAACGAATTATGAATTTATACGGGACATAAAGTTATGCTTTTGACAGCATATACCAAAATCAAGATCATATTGGGGAGAAATATAATACATTAATGTAAGGGTAACCAAAGATTATTTCGTACTTTAATACACATTTGCTGATAAAATACAAAATAAATTATAAATGAAATATTCATTCCTTTTAAATTGCAACAGTCCGATAGAAAGTGATAAAATATTATTTCTTAAAATATTATGATAAAATATTAATCTTTAAAATATTATAATAAAATATTAATCCTTAAAAAAAGTGATTATTTAAATATTGAAAACGTTTTATCCCGTTCATGAACATAAATCACAAAAAATTGTTAAAAATATTAAAAACTTTTATAATATTTTAACTCAAATTTACCAGCTTTACAGTAAATCGAGAAATGTGCTCAAAGCCAAGTGAGCGATTATT